GCGCTCAGTGTCCGTACAGCCCCAGCAGGGGGCGGTGCCGTCTGTTACTGTACATCTCAAAGGCAGGGGGACTTTCACTCTGACTCCATCTCTGTTCTTTTCTAATGCTTATATCTTTTATATTGCACTACAGTCCGAGTCAGGAGGGTCGTCCAGAGGAGTGGGATCGCCGATCCGCTGCATTCAATTACAGATACTCTTCCTCTTTCACGTACAGGATCTCGTGGGCCGAGCTGGGAACCTGAGCGAGAGAGAGACAAGATATTTCATGTCAGTACCTCATGATACGTAACCATTTAACTCAGTAAAAAACTGAATCATTAAGGGTGCTTCAACACCTGTAGTCGGTTCCTTTGATCCGGACCAATGATACATTGATGCAGTTTAGTTTATTTTCCACAACGAAACAAGACTGACAGGGAACTTCTTGACGATGGTCACCCTACATCATCAGGACCCACGTGGAGAAATCAAAGTCTGGTGACTGACAGTTTACGCACTTTAATGCCTCTGAAATGTATATTTACGTTCTTTAATTAAGACGTGTTACCTCGCGGGATCGCTGTCACACACTTGGAACAAAGTACACAGAGCTGAATACAAGCACAACAACTTTACAAGGTTTTGACCTGTTTATCAGTTAAAGTACCCGCGCTGACGTGCTCATATACATGGTCTTGATTACACATCAATAAGATCCCTTGCTGAACAGATTTCATGATCAACGGATGCATCTATAAGTAGTGACATCATTGCTAAAATACCGTGTCTGCCGTGATAAAATCTTGTGGTTGGTTCGTTTGATTTTCACTCAACAAATCTTAACCAAACTAACCGGATCAAACCTGACCTGAGTTTGATAAAACCAAACCATACAGGTTAGGTGTGAAAGCACCCGTAGGCCCGGTTTGCTTCTTTCCTTTTAAGTGGACGGGCCTTTCACACAGGACACGGTTTGCACTGCTTTTGCCTCCCCCCTCTGGCTGTGAGAGGAGCTACACGGACTCTGTCGACGCGGCTTCTGACTGCAGGCCTGCGGACGAGCTCGCCAGTTCTAAGTACAGAAGGCTTAAGGTACATGGACTTATTGTACAAACTTGTGGGCTTGAATGTAACAGACTTTCATGTAAAACATCTGCACACAAAGTCAACATCTGTCACCGCGCCTGTGCTCAGCTTGTGTTGAGTTATTGTAATCATGCACCGTTTACGGTTAAGTCCGGCGCGAGTCTACCTGGTTGACTCCTCCCACCACCAGGAGGCGGTCTCTGATGACGATGGAGGAGGTGGAGCATCGGGGGAAGTTCATGGGGGCCAACCTCTCCCACTTCTTCCTCTGAGAGTGGAAGGCCTCCACCGTGTCCAGCGCCGAGGGCTCGTGACCTGCAACAAGACCCAAAGGTAGTCATCTATTTATTTCATCGGGATTTATTGTAAACAAAGAATGCAGCGCATGACTTCAGTCACGTGAACACTGATATGTAGGTTAATCTAACCTTTAAGATTGTTCTGGATGAATTAAACACCATGGATGCAGCGAGATTCAATCAATATTTGCATCAAACAGAAGGTCTGCTCTTACCGAGTCCTCCTGCTACAATCATCCGGCCGCGTAGGAAAGCGGCGGCAAAGTCGGCCCTCTTTGTTTTCATCGCCACCGTCTCCTCCGACTTCAACCAGGCGCCTGCAGAGGACGACACGACAGCTGACATGAGCGGATGTGTGTGTGTGTGTGAGCTGGTGTGTGTGCAGGCTTACGAAGTGGCTGAGGGTTATTGGGTCAGTGGCACTGTGGTCTCTGTTCTGGTCGGACAGGATGCCGCTGAGCTCTGTTTTCTGAGCGTGACCCGCGCAAACAGGTCACCCTTAAGCCAGCTGCAGCCATGTACAACACACTAACACACACACACACGCACACACACACACACAGACACACACACACACACACACACACACACACACACACACACACAC